ATATCTAAACTTTATTCTCTAGTTCCGCAATTCTTTATACAAAAAGGCTCGAAACAAATACCGTACGTACCAATAATGTTTCTAGTTCTTTGTAATTCTCTAAATGTTTCTGTTTCTCTTCGATTTTCTAAATACTTCTATTTATTTTTGATATACTGAAGTTTGTAGTTTCTTTTTAATTTTCTTCTATTTCCAACTGGCTGTATCCCAGTAAACCTAACAAAACATTTCTCTAAGCATATTAAGCATATTCTGTTATAGTTTGATACTATCATTCCTAAAAATAAATTTTATTTGCATCAGTTTTTAATCATTGTTCATAATATCATGTCTCAAGGCTCATCTTTGCGTTATAATGTAGTGCAAAATTAGTTCACATTACTTTTTCTTTTCTTCTAATGTTAATTTAAGAAAGTTTAAATAAATTAAAATGTAATCAATAATCACCTCTCCCATTCAAAATACAGATTCATGTTCTTTCATATACGACTGAAACTCATAAATGATGCAAAGAAAATTCTAACCTAAAATGTTTAATTTGGGAAATGAAAATTAAAACTATGAAATGCTTAATCATTTCCTTTTTGTGCTTGAATATTGGCTAAATCTGACTTGAGGATGAAATAAAAAAATTTCTATTTTAGATGATACGCATTTGCTATTTCACGAGTTTAAATAAGATAAATTACAAAAGAATTTTACTTGGTTTGAAATTTTATAATAAAAAATGAAATCTCTTTCCTTGTTCCGATTAAAAAGAAAAGAAATATCAATCTATACCAAAAAAACAAAACTTTATCTTCAAAAAGAAAACGCTATTTTCTTCGCAATTGGAAGATATGATTGATGTAGGCAGCTTAGATGATTCAAAGAAAATCTTGTTACCTTTCCCGACTCCATTACAGTAGAAGTTCGAAGGAAAAAATAAATAGTAGAATTTTGCATTAAACGCGAAATCGAGAATGGCGTTACAACTTATGCAACTCATTATTCAATTTAAATTAACGTACTAGAGAGATCTACTTTTTTAACTATAGTTTATGTAAATTGCTCAAAATTAGCAAAATTGACGAAGAATTTAAGCGATAAAAAGCGATGAACGAAATTCTTCGTTTAAAAGCACAGGTAGACAAAAGTGTTTTTATTCCTTCTAACTATTGCTGCTATATATAATTTATCATTCACTTTCCGAAAGACTATTACTGTAAATAATAACATTCTTTTATTGCAAAAATATAAGAAATCACATGTAATTCATTATGCAATCTTGCACTCAAGATATATGTTTACTACTGTTTAAACATGGGACCAAAACTGGTCGAAATGATGAATAAATTCCAAAAGATAAAGTATTAGAAATGGAGATATGCGACAGCATTTAAATAAATACAGTGACTTCTGTCTGATCTCTTATAAACCTTTCTTTATGTATTATGTTAGTTTGAAAATATTCGTAGTGTTTTAAATAGCGTGTATGTTGATAAAAATATAAGATTCAAATTTTAACAGTACGATTCGTTACGCTAGCTTGCTCGTACAATTATGTGTCTCCCACGTGACAAAATATCAATCAAATATAAACAGAATTACATAACACATAAGAAACCCTTAAACATTATAAAACATTTCATAACTAAAAATTATTAAAATATTTCAATAACTAAAAATTATTAAAATATTTCAATAACTTAATCCAAACTGAGGTTTTTAATTCCAAGAAAATTACATCAAGTGTAGTTAAAGTAATCGGTTAGCACTAAAATACTAAGAAAATCTTTTAAACTGCGAATGAAATATAAATCTTCTTCCGAAAGCTCTTAATAGAGTTAGCTGTGAAGACAAGTTTAAAACAATCACCCAACAAACAAATACGATTTCCGAAATTAAATATTGATTTGGAATCAAATCTTTTTTTTCCCATGAAATGAGAAGCTCCCTGTTATATATAAACAGCGTATGACAGAATTGTTGCGTATGTTCTGCATGTACGTAAAACAGACTTTTTCCTTTCTCTTTTCTAAAATTTCACAAAGCGGTCTGGTATTTTCGTTAACACATAACTATTCAGAATTTAAAACTGTTGCTATAAATGCACATTAGATCTTATGAGTATTTTAAGTTTTTAACTGAATACAGGAAAATTTAGAAACTCGGTTACCTTTTCACAAAGTATGAGAAATATAATTCTTTGCAAAGAAACAAAAGTGCTTAGTTACTGAAGTTTTCAAAGCTGAATAAAATACAAAAGCTAAAGGGTTTAATCTAGTAGTAGAACTAATGGCTAAGATTAATGAAATTTCACGAAAAATGCAAGAATTAGTTCCAGACTTCCCATTAACATGTTAGAAAATGTAAATATTCGTTGGCTTTTTAAATATGGTATACAATCGAACTGCCTAGGGAGTAATGTCTTTGAGGAGGACATTTCTAAAAGCTCTTTTCCTTTACATACGGGAAAGGGCATTAAATTTTCGAAGCTGTCTAAATGGAATAAATTCCCGGTGCTAAGAAATTTAAATTCGGTAAAGCGTACGAGGGCTATCTCTCTAAGGAGAGAAATGCTTTCGTGAATAACATTTTAAAAAGAATCTGGCTCGTATGCACTATACACATGAAAAACCCCATAAAAACCTCCTCTTTCGCTGCATTTGAACCTGCTGCGTGTCTTTGGATACAGGTTTATTGATGAGTTTTACCAAGTAAGCTCGATAATAAGAAAGCTAAAAATAAGCGATTTAACGTTTAAGTGACTAGTCGAAAATTTCCCAAACAGAAAACGTTAGCAATAATTGTGTAATTATAAAAAAACTAATTTTGTTAAAAGTATCGAACAATTTATTTTCAACCTGGATTATTTTTCTAAATAATAAATTGTTCTAAAACATTATAAATAAAAAATATTTCTGTCTACAGAACTTCAACACAATTTAGCACCTTTTCTCCTGTGCAAACTAAAACCTGTACATTTTTTAAGACAAATCTGAGTACTAGCAAAAGTAATGTAAGTCTTACCAACGCACGCTAGGATGGGAATATTCAGGAAATCCGCAAACTTAACTTGAAAGGCGTCAGGAGGAATTTCGAATCGACTGGCAGATGAGAGTCATTGGATTCTCACCTGTCACTACATCCTGGCAATCTCGATTTACAGGTAGACTGTGAGACTGAAACCTAGATCTAACAGTCAGACAGAGCAAATTCTAGAGCAAATTCAGAAGGAATTCTCATAATCCAGTCCTAAGAAAACACTTTTGACATTACTTGGATGAGAGTAGATTGTCTCCAGTCATTTTCAGTGTGAAATGAAATTGAAATGTATGGGCGTAAATAAGCTCTTGTCTCTAATGTTGTAGAGTAATATTTCAAACTGAACAGAGGATAGAACCTAAAAGTCTTAAACAGTTTTAATCTATATTTGTATTTCCTAGGAAAACCTAGTTAAAAGTTAGAAATAACTATGATGTTGTTCTGAAACGTTCAGATCATAGATTGCTAAGCAAATATACTAAACTATAAAAGTAACTATGATATTTTCTAAGTTACTAAAAGCTATAAGTAGTAGACTTAAACAGTAGGTTAGAATTCCAAGTAATTTCCCATTTTTCAGCAAGAATGAAAGATTGTTTTCATTTAGTGCTGTTATTCCATGTAGTGCTGTTACTGTTATGTTCTTCAATTATTATTCCAATAACGTACATACTTATAATAGTAAGCGTCTTCATACAAAGTATAAAAATATGAAAACATGTTTAAAAATGTTTAATATATGGATGTGGGATATTTATGAAGACTTTAATGTAGGTATAAATTACTTTCGTAATTATAATTCCGATAAAAGTAAACAAGTAGAATACACATAAACGAAATTAAATACACATAAACGAACACACATAAACGAAACTTAAAAGAAATATTTGAATTCAATTATATTAAAAATTGATAGTATTGATTAAAATGTAATTTATCCGTAAAATTATTAGTCTAATTGGTCAAAGCATCTTTATTTCACAATAAACTATGATTACCGCAAATAATACGTAACATATCGTCTTCAAAATATTATCACACATTGCCACGAGAATCTCTCAGTGTTTTCATATTGGGAGCAATTTATTGCTAAGTTTATGATTTATCAGTAACTGACGCATCCAAAAAAGAGTATTTAAAACAAAACTTAAAAGAAATATTTAAATCCAATTATATTAAAAATTGATAGTATTGTTTCCATAAAAAGGACAGTAAAACAGGAAACTACGTTTTCAAATACTGGTTGTATTGAAGTAATATCGCAGCAGTTTCTCTGCGAAATGAAAGTAATTTCCATGTAACTATTCATTCTATTCCATCTATCTGTACCTAAGATTAAAATGTAATTTCTATGTATAATTATTAGTCTAATTAATCAAGGCATTTTTTATTTCACATTAAACTGTGATTAATGCAACTAATATGTACCACATGGTCTTAAAAATACAATCACACATAGAACGCAATTCATATGAAATTTTTCTCTCAGTGAATTCATATTTTGAGACGCTTATTGGTAAGTTTATGATGTATCAGTAATTGTCGAGTATAAACAAGAGTATTGAAAACAAAACTTAAAAGAACTGTTTAAATTCAAATTAAAAATCAACAGTGTTTTTTTCTATAAAAAGATAGTAAAGCAATTCTCATAAAAACATATTATTTCTAGTTTATTATTATTGTCGAACAACGGATGGAAAGCACTATAATTAATTAGTCAACAAAAATTGAAAAACATACTTAAATCTGATATTTCTTTAACAGGTATAATGCTTTTGTTTTATCCTAAAAACTCATTTTTTATAATTAATTTTAATAAAATTGAATCTGGAAGAGATGCACTAAACATTAGTAAGAAGTTAATGTTAAAACATCTCCCTGTTTAGATTTCGTTAAATAATTGCAATGGTTTTATTTTTATTTTGTAACTAGTTTATTTTGTTTTCGTTCTTATTTTATTTTCTTCTTTACAGCCGTATCTCCAGGCCTTTAAAAAGCAAAGTACGAGAAATATAGAACTGGAGACAATATAGAACTGGAGCAATGATCTGAGCTTTACGAATCGAGCTACAATACCAAAAATAATAAATCCAAATTCTCAGATGAAATTTTTCACATATCTATTCCATAATTTGAAATATTGTTACATTTATTTTAATTATATTTATTTTGAACGTGTTGTGTTTAATACAATGTTCACAATCTTAATAATTTTCTTATATTTATTTTGTTTATATTTTACTGCTATTTTCAAATATATTTTTAAGTCTTTTAAATATATTCTCAAATATATTTTATTTTTATACAGCTCGCATTTTTTGACACCTTATGTTTTCCCAAAACTATCTTTGAGCAGTTAAAGCTACAGCAAAACACTTAAACAAGGAAATAACCTAAAAATATTTTCACATTCTTGACATTTTCAACGCATCTGAAATATAGCGGAGTACAAACATAATATTTTTAAACAAAAACATTATTTACAGGCAATCCGTTTGGGTTGGATCATAACTGCCAAAAGTGTCTAAAATTTTAATGAAGTTTATCTTGTTTTCAGATATTCATTATTTACCTTTTTTCAAGAAGATCTCGTGTACAGCATCGTCTTACAATATTTTAAGAAAATTACTAAAAGCAATTCAGAGTGTATGACATTTATTGCGAGCAAATATTTGCTTACGAAACATTCACTGAAATTCTGATTAATTGGTATACCATAAAAGAAGGTATAATACACTTTCAAAAACTAATACATTGTTTTAAGGCATTTCACACCTAATAATTGATATAACCTCTCCTTGCTAAACATTAAGTTGTTAATATTTTTTTGCATTCTTATGAAGGAAATGTGTTTAAATGAAATATATGCATAGAAATCTAGTAGTAGTATAACTACTAGATTTCTATGCATACAGTTGTTTAATTTTTGATTACTTGGTCTAATTTCAGTAACGAATTCATATTTTTAAGTTTGCTAAACCATTTATTTTAATTTGATAGCTTTTTACGCTCACATTGCTAACGTACATGCTACAAATTTTAGAAACATATTTGCAGTAAAAATTAGGTATGCATTCGCTAAAGCTTTGAATGTTTTAGATTCCATTAAAATATATAGATTCATTTTTTACATTTGTATTAATATGGTATTCAAAATTCTAAGAGAAACTAAACACTTGCTTATTATAGCTTCTTGAATTGACACTTTTACAACAGTTTCAGTCAGGGAATTAATTATTTTTCACCACTTACATATTTTAATGCTGAGCATTCTTTCAATATACTATGCGCATTATTTTTAAATCCAAGTTTATTGTTTTTGTTATTCAAAATAATTAATTTACCAGTATTATGTTAATACTATCATTCAATTGAAATATTAAAAAGTATTATTGTTATCAATGACCGTAAAATGCAAGTTGATAAGAAATGTTTTATATCATTTATTAAATTTTTAGCATATGATAAATAATTTTTCAATACAGAAAATTAAGTTTTTATGTTTTTATGAAGAACACAAAAAAATCATCTGTATTTTTTTATGATAGTGATCTGATCAAATGAGTTGCAAAATATTTTTATTCCAGTTTTTGCAATTAGACATGAAACGTGGTTGAATACATCAGAAATAAATGAAGTCATTTGAGTAAATATAATTTTCTAAATGCATATTTTTTATAATAATTCTAATATGGTTATAATTCTTTGATAACAATTTTTGTTTCTTAAACAAGAAATATACCTTATGTATTTCTCTGAAAAGCCATTTTATTCATAATCTATATTACTTTGAATAACATATTTTCGAGAATTTTTAACATAAAAATGTGTTCGAAATTCAAGTATAAAAAAGATGCAGTCGACCTGTTCTGATAATTACTTTCAAAAGCAAGCTTGCGTTGTATTAGAACTGTCAGAATATTAATGAATCTAGAGGAATTTCTAAAAAACCAATGAGTTAAGTGTTTCTAGGAGAAAGCACACTTAAAGTGAGATGAGATTTATTTCATCTCATCTGACTCATCATCTTTCATCCCTTATCTCACATCCTACTATTACTCTCTGATACTGTGATTGATAAAATATTAGTGAGTTAGATAGGAGCATCCATTACAGGAATACATGCATATACAAAAGGGTAAAAAATGACTCATACCGCTATCATTCCCAGAACATCACATATAGACAGATGGATATAAAGAAAGCTGAAGAAAGAGGGGGAAGGGCTAGAAAAAATGGAAAAAACGGCGCGTCGAGACAACAGAAGGATGTTTAATTCAATCATTCATGGTTCAGTCTCCGGTAATCCGGGTGTAGAAAGGCCGCCTTTCAATCAATAGCCTTCTTAAACAGGGCTTGGAAATGGAAAACTGAAAGTGGGCTTTCCCCCTTGTGTGCGGTTTTTTTATCTTTGTTTCTTTCGTCTTTTTCTTTTCTAAACCCTTTTTTTTTTTTTTTTTTCATATTATTTATTTTCGGGTTTCTGCCGTAAATGAAATGGTAGCAGAGCAGACGGCGGGTGGGTTAACCGGATTCAATTTCACTTTTTGTGTTATTTTGTCCCAGTGCTACATTTAAAACATTGTTATCGAACAGTGCTGATTGTATTGGCTTCCGCGTTATAGTGATCGTGAAAGGTATGCAAACTCTTTGACTGATGAAATATTCTGTAAGAATATCAACACTGATGGAATATTTACGGATTATTCTAAAACATAAATATTTCGAGCATGTTAAATATCGATTCTTTTGTTTTCAAGAACAGGAGATTCTTAAGAAATGTTTTATGCGTTGACACAATTCACGTTTGCTCACATTCTCTCATGTAAATTCCATTGAATAGTATGAGATTTTGTATAAGTTTTCTTTAGAAATTTGCCTTGCTGACAGCTATATAGAATAAAATTTAATTTAAACTAACATTTGCGAAAAGAGATTGTTAGCATGCGACACGTAAACAGAATTTTAAAAAGTATAATTAGGATTATAAATTTTTCAAGAATTTATCTAATTTTAAACGCATTTATTTTAATAACAAAAGTGTAATTTATGCTAAAAATGTGAATATAATTTCATTTCAAATTGCAATAATTTCGGACAGATAAAATTTATAAGATATCGCACATTCAGAATCTAAGACCATACATATACATGCACGAAAGCAGTAAGCACATCATAGCCATAAATTGTCATCTAGTGTAAATTAAACCAGGCAAAACTGTGTTGGAAGCTTTATTATGCACAACATATGCCTTTTTTAATTTTTTATTTGGGTATTAATAAGTAATAAAATACAACATCTGTTGTGGAGACAGAATAATATTTGCTTCTGGCAGACAAAGGCCTCTGGTCTGTTCCTTAAGGAGCTAAGCAACGAGAAATTCTGTATTTCAAAATATTAAAGCTGCGGTCTATCTTGATAAAGGCGAAACACGTGTAAAGACAATAGGTTATTTCGAAGCAGGTGACATGGAAAATGAGCAATTCCCTCGCCAGGACTCGAACCTCAGACCTCTCGAATACGCGCCGAGTGTGCTGGTCATTACACCACGAAGGCATGTTAAGGAAGCGGGAGAAATACCTTATATTCTCCCCCTTTTAAAGAACGACTGGATATTAGGGAACCCAATCGCCAGATCCTGGTGGTGAAGAATCCTCATCCATCACCTTTTGTTTATAGTTCGGGTACTACTGTAGAGACATTAGGTTATTTTGAAGCAGAAAACATGAAATATGAGCAATGTCTCGCCGGGACTCGAACCTTGAGCTCTCGAATACGCGCCGAGTGTGCTGGTCATTACACCACGAAGGCATGTTAAGGAAGTGGGAGAAATACCTTATATTCTCCCCCTTTTAAAGAGCGACTGGATATTAGGGAATCCAATCGCCAGATCCTGGTGGTGGGGAATCATCATTCATCACCTTTTGTTTATAGTTCGGGTACTACTGTAGAGACATTAGGTTATTTTGAAGCAGGAAACATGAAATATGAGCAATGTCTCACCGGGACTCGAATCTTGACCTCTCGAATACGCGCCGAGTGGGTTACAGTTACACCAGAAAGGCATGCAGAAAGGAGAGAGAAAATGCCTTATACACTTAATACAACAAAATATATTTTGAAACCATGTGGAACATCAGTATGCTTCGCAGTGTGATACGAAAATTAATATGGGTTACTACTCAAAATTGGTCAAATGGGACCAGAGTATGATTCTATCACTACCAGATGTGGCATTTAGATATCGATATCCAACAGCAAGTAGAACATAAGAAATAATATACCATAACTTATCACACTTTAATACTGACTTTTACTGGTCTCTGTTCCAAATCACTAATTTGATTTTTACCAGTTATTAATAGCTCCTATGCTATAGCTTGGATATGCTATCAAATTAAAGGTGTCCCTAGTAAGCTGCAATTTATTTCTCTTCACATACTCTGCATCTGAACGTTTTAGCACTTCATTCATAATTAGCCGAGATTTGATTGCAACACCTTTGCCGTTATTTAGCGTTCTAAATAGGTCTTCTTCTAATGACGCACATATTTTGCCACGCTTACAGTTTCTGGATTGCTTTGTAGGCATCAACTCTTGGAACACTTCTTCATTCTGTCGTTACGGTTAATGAATTTCTGAAATGCTTTTGAAATTGGGCCCTTTACTGTGAAATTTTCCTTCAGGGAGAAAGAAGTAATCCTTGAATACCAATCTGGATAAAAAGGGAATGATTAAAAATAGGTGCACTTTTATTCACAATAAACATCTTGATGATAAGTGCGTGTGTGAAAGAAGTTTACTTGCTGCTTCTTCCTGTTCAATCATTTTAAATCATTCGGCAGCAAAAAATCAATCAAAGACTTGCATTCTAGTTTTTTATGTAAGCTGATGATATAAATAGGAGCAATATTTGTAGACATAGGATGTGTCAGGATTGTACACATAAGATGAGATAGATTCCCTTAAAAAATTCCTCCACGAAGACATCCTTTCATTAGGCAGAGAACTCTCGTGTGCTTGCTTTGTCATGTTCATATAACCTAATCTAACTTTATTCATTCTGATATATTACTCATAAATCATTATTACTTATATTTCTTATACAAACAAATTTCAATTATTCGGATTCTAGATACTCGGATTTAGATTAGTTTAAATTTAATTGAACAGAAGTATGGTTTTCGTTTATTTTTATTCCAGTTAAAATAATTATTTCATTTATTCTTAGCACAGCAAAAATAAATACATGATGACGTGTTTGTTTTAAGATATAAAATAATTAAAATCAGAATTAAATTAA